CACATCAGGAAAGGAGAGCAAAGCCAGCCTGGGAGAGGGAGAGGGAGGGAGAGAGGAGAGAGAGAGAGAGAGAGAGAGAGATGTTGCATCAGATTGAAATGAGGCCTAGTTTAGACTGAGCCCCTTTTCCACATTGAAACATCTTTGGCTTCTATTAAAGGTTTTGTGGACGAAACAGGATTAAGACTATCAGGAAGCTCTCTCATTTTGTTGAGGTTTTAAACAGGATCCATTGGACCAGATCTCTATCCTAAAAAAAGTACTTTTCCCCAATGTATTACAGTGCCAATTCTGAAGAAGGCAAAACCAAAATGTACTGGTAAATTACAAGGAGAACACCCCCACCCACCCACACACACACACTCCCTTCTAATCCTGCTGGAGCAGGTGATTGGACTAGAATAGATATCTCATTATATTTCTCTCCCTCCCTCCCTCCTTCTTTATTTCTTTTTCTTTCTGTCCCTTCCTTCCATCCCTCCATCTTTCTTTGTCCCTTTTTCTTTCTTTCCCTTTTTCTTTCTTCCTTCGCTCTTTCTTTCTCTCTCTCTTTTCTCTTGCTCTCTTTCCCTCTCTCAGGCTCACCCCATTGATTTGGTGAACCGCTCCAGTGCAGTGGGCTCAATGTGATGGACCTGTGGTGCCGACAACTAGAACGCGGCAGTGCCGGCACGTTTGAAAAGTAGAGCAAAGCCAGAGGTCGGTAATTTTTGCTGCTAAGAATCACAAAAGCTTCTGGGCTGTGCACAAGAAAGGACATACATGTTAATGCAATTCAGCAACATAAAATAAAGAAATACAAATAAAACAAATCAACAAGAATTGGCAAAGCATCTCTGATCAGATTTTATTCACTGCTAGAAACTAATCAGAGATGCTTTGCTGATTCTAGTCCAATGACCTGCTCCAGCAGGGTTGGAAGGGAGTGTGTGTGTTTGTGTGTACATGACTGTCAAAATTCCAAAAACAGGTCAAGTAGCTCTGGGGAGGCCAGTCATTAATTAGAACACTTGCTAAACAACTGGCTATTAAGTGAGGACCACTTGTATTTGGTTTGCCAGTCACCTGGCCATGCTCACCCAGTCACATGGCCACACCTAACCAATCATGTGACCACCAAGCCACGCCCAGCAAGCAAGCCATGCCAGCCAGTCACATGACCAGCAAGCCTAGCCCACCCAGTCAGGTGACCAACAAGCCACACTCTCAAATTAGGCCATGCCTACAGAAATTCGAATCCCACCCCTGGATGGGGGGCACCGATGAGTTTGTAGCACCAAAGGGGCGGTGGACTGAAAAAGTTTGGGAACCACTCCTTTCCCATTTTGTTCACTACAATAACACCAAAACAGAGTACTTCTCATGACTGCAATGAGGACTTCCAATTTTACAAAAAAGGTATAGATAGATAGATAGATAGATAGATAGATAGATATAACCATTCATTTAGCAACTGTTCAAAGTTACGATGGCACTGAAATAGGTGACTTATCACTGTTTTTCACACATACAACTTTTGCAGCATTCCTATGGTCACATAATCAAAATGTGTATGCCTGGCAACCAATATGTATTTATGATAATTACAGCATCTCAGCATCGTGTGATTGCCTTTATGACCTTCCCAGCTGAGTTATGACAGCAAAATTCAAGGGGGGGAAGCGAGATTTGTTTAATGTCTTCAGTGATTTGCTTAAAAGCCAAGGCAAAAAAGGTCATAAAATCAGGTGCAACTCACTTAACAACCACTTTGCTTAGTAATGGAAATTCTGGTTCCAATTGCAATCATAAATGGAAAATTACCTATACGAAGTTTTTTAAATCTTTCAGACCAATAGTAGGAATCTTGCCTTCTTCCAATTGTTTCCAAATGCTTAACAGCCTTAATTAACACAGCTGATAGGGAATTCACAAAGATTTGGAAAAATAAAAATCCTCATTCTTGAATTCTGATCTAGTCAAGTCAGCAGCAATTTATTATATGGGTATCTAAATATATATAGGTCGAGATGTTCTTCCCAATTGCAAATTATCCATCCATATCAGTTGAAGCCAAATTAGTCTTGTACAGAATGAATCTATTGACTGAAGATTAGTCACATAACTCCTGAGGCCTAAGAATATAGATTTTTTAAAAAGGAAGATATTAGGAGACATAGGCCAGGATACAAACATACATTATTTATATATATATTTATTTTATTCATTTAGTCATGTTTATGTAGTGGAGGTGGTGATCCTTTGAGCGCTGTATGCAACAAAATTTCATTTTAATGTATGCCAATTAGCATGCATTGAAAGTGACAAGTTATTGTCCTGTTCTGTACTATCTTGATTCTGTTCTGTTCTGTTCTGCTCTATTCCATTCCATTCTTTTCCATTCCCAATGAGTGATCATTCTCAGCAACACTGCAGTTCACTGCACTTCAGTTGCATGCTAAAATTTTCTTGTTAGATGGACAAGTTATGTGGAAAGAACTGATTTCATTTTCCTACAATTGCAAAGGATTTAATGTTTGGCTGTTGTTGTTGTTAATTTTCCAACCAAATTAATATCACAATGTAATCAACTGAGTGTTATAAGCAATGATTCAGGTCCTGGCCAAAGAATTAAAAGTCATGGAAGTACTACTGTAAAATGTATACTGTGACAAGGTAATCTTTTGCAACTTAATACATTAAGTTTAAAATTTAGTTCAAATCAGTTTCGTCTCATATAAATAGTGAAACCATTAGTCTAAGACCACTTACATTAGTTTCAAAATCTATATAAGCAGTGGTGGCATTCAAATTTTGTTACTACTGGTTCTGTGGGCGTGGCTTGGTGGGCTTGGTGTGGCTTGGTGGGCATGGCATGGCTTGGTGGCAGCGTGGCAGGGGAAGGATACTGTAAAATCCTCATTGCCTCCCCATTCCTGGGGGAAGGTTACTGCAAAATCCCATTCCCTTCCCACCCCACTAACCTGCTTCCCAGCTCCGTTCTCCTGTGCAGGGCAACAAAACACAACCCAGCTGATCAGCTGGGACTCAGGAGGCAGAGAATAGATGGGGGTGGGGCCAGTCAGATATTTGCTGGTTCTCTGAACTACTCAAAATTTCCACTACCGATTCTCCAGAACTTGTCAGAACTGGCTGAATACCACCTCTGTGTATAAAGTATTTTACTAAAAGTATCCCTTACTTGCTGACTGCCTTGTTTAACAACTATTTGAACCATTGTAACCACAACTTATAATGGTGTAAAAACCCAGGTTCAACAACCATCACAATGTCCTATAATCACAATCATCATTTGTGTGCTTTGTAACCAGATTGCAATAAGCAGTTAACAGAGAACTCCCAAATAAAATTGTTCTGTTAGTCATGTAATATTTCATTTCACAATAGAATGGGACATGATGCCGTAAGTTCATTGTGGTTATGTGATTTTCTGCTTAGCAACTGTGATTCTTGATGAAAGACTTGCCTGACCCAATGGTAGTCAGTAAGCAAGAACTACCTATATGAGATTAAATAAAGACCTTTAAGATATTAGGAAGCTTAGGCAAAGTTTAAAATGTGTTCATATGGAGCCTCTTTTAAAATCAGTATGACAGCTATTTTTTTACACATTATTACTACTATAACTACAAGTACTACTGTTTTAAATTACTGAATAATATTCAATAATTCCAAATTTTTCAGGAATCCTGCCCCTGCTCCTTAGAATAATATCATTTTCTGTATTAACTTTAAAAACATCCTTTAACATCCTAGTCAAACTGAAACTGTTTTTTGTTCTTTGTCATGATTCATGTTTCCTTTATTTCTACATCAGCTCTTAATGCATCTACTGATTACCTGGGCTGTTGACTTATCAACACGGTTGCTCTTGTCTCTCAAGCTGATGTAGTGAACTTTCAGAGGGGGAGCACCAAGTGCTTCTAGGGCTAAGGGGTCTGCTTCAAGTTGCTTAAGAGCATCCTGATAGTATTTTGTTCTAGAGAAAACCCCTGAATAAAAAAGCAAAAAAGAGAAACAGTATAATTTTGGACAAAATATCGAAAAGAACACTGTTAAATGTTAATCAAACCCAGAAAGGAATCCAACTGATGCTCAGGCCAAGAAAGTTAAAGTGCTGGGAGTCTCCTCGAGTTTTCTTCCCTTTACGTCCTACAGGTGCTTTTTTCAAGAGGCAACTGGACTTTCTTTGTTTTTGCCTTAAGATGTTTTGCTTCTTATCCAAGAAGCTTCTTCATATTAGAAAATCACTTTGCATTAAGCAAATAGGGGGTTTGTTATTCTTTGCTCCTCCATTTCAAATGTGCAGGGCCTGACTAAAACAAGGATTGAATTGCTTACTTCCCATCTTGGAATAGAGGATTCAAAAATATCAGAGGAACTAAAGTGACTGTTGCAAACCACATTCTTTCTATTTCATGTAATTATTTCATTTTCCTTTCTATCAAGAGTACCGTGTTACTCTCTGCTTTAAAGTTCTCGATTCATCTCTATAGACTGCGAGATGATCTCCCAAGGCTAAGATTCATAGGCCTCTCAAAAATCAGGCAGAGAAGTTTTAGATGTACCAAATGGAAAATCTCCTTATTCTTGAAATATCTCTTCAGAAATGAGGCAAAGTTCACCAGCATCAGAATTGGATTTTTGTTAATTTCTTCTATTACAACTAATGAAAAAGGAATAAAAGCAACTCAGTAGAAACAAAGAAGTAGGGGGGGGGAAAAGAAACCCTCTTTTTTGAAAATTAGTTATCCCTTTCAATAAATTCTTCCACCAGAGTCATCACAGCTGTCTTACATCTTCATAAATCTTTTTAAAAAACAAGATACCACTGTTTATTTGGCTAGAATTTGCTTAGAGTTAGGAAATAGAAAAGGCCTTTCAGTTGTCTTCCATAGTTAGTTTTTCAGCAATGAAAAACTAACCAGCAATGAAAAACTAGCCTGGAAGAGCAACATTTAGCACAAATGCAGACCCAAAAGGTTCAGTTAACCTGATTGACTGATTGTGTGATAATTCTGACCTGTACTGAAGTTATAAAAATTTGTAAGAAATTTTAACCCCCAACATATATCAGATTATTCTGGATTTTTATATACTTGCCCACCACTTAGTCAGGTAAATTTGGAAATTAAATTTCTCCATTGGTGCTTTGGAACTATTAGCATTACCACTAACATAATATTGTGGCTTCTAGTGCTGCTTGCCCTTTGGAAAAATCAGTTCATTGTTTGGCAATCCAACAGCAAGCAAAGAAGAACAGGATTTTTAGTAATATTTACCAACTGCGGGTTTCTTGTATTCTATTGTTCTATTTCTTGTGTTCTTGTGTTCTGCAAATGGTGAGTCATATCTCGCTCTGTTCATGAAAGCAGAGCATGATAGCAAAATCTACATTTATTTAATTGTTTTGGAAGAACAACAAAGAACAACTTTGTTGCATCATATACTTTTCCCCCATAATGTCGGGCTTCGACCCTACCACCAATATCGGCTGAAACATTACCCTAGCGGTTCCTGATGGTCCCGGATCTAGACGCCCCGGCCACAACGCCTTGCCTCATGCCCACCAGTTGGGAAGCTTCGTATGGACCCGACAAATTACCCTGAATGGTCCTGATGATCCTGTCTTGCCTCATGTCGGCGCGACCAGCTGGGGAGCTTTGCATGGACTCAGCTGTTTGGCGGTGTGCATTCCTTTGGGCATGCCACCACCTGCCTTCGAACGGACCTGTCAGCTGTTGGGCGGTGGGCGTTCCTTCAGGCACACCACCCGCTCTTGAACGGACCTGTCAGCTGTTGGGCGGTGGGCATTCCTCCCTCTTTTCAGTGCCACCAGGCAGGAGGCATTTCGCACTGGCAGCTTTTGGGATTACTATGGGATTGGTGGCACAAACGGCGGGGTGGGATGGGGCTCGGCATGGGGCTTGGCTTGGAGATAGTTTTGCGGGGTGGGGGCACACAAGGTAGCTAAGGGAGGATGTAGGATAATTAAGTGTTTCCAGGGGTGGATGTTAGATAATTAAGGGGAAAAGACTATAAACAGTGCTGAGAGGCAGACGCTCTCAGTGCTGGCTTTGCTCGGGAATTACCATTTGCTGCTGATTGTTGGAGGAAACAGACCACAATAAACAAGTCTTGCCACAAACAGAACGTGAGTAAAGTAGTTTATTGGTGAAGTTTCACCGTGTTCCAACAGAAGCTGACACATTAGCTTGAATGAGGGATAGAAAATTATTTTTGCAGCAAAAGATGTATAGCTACTGTTGTGGAAACTCTTTTGATATATAAAATATTAACTTATGTAGGAATACTTTAAAAATAAGGTTTATACTTTAAAAAAAATGGTTTATAAAATCCATTATCAGCTGAGGTTATTTATATGTTTTTGTTGTTGAAAATGTATCACAAATAACTTGGGATTCTATAAAATCAAATAATTTTCAAAAGGATTTTAACTACAAAACACACACCTTCTAAACTTTGAATATGAAAAAATAAAGTTTCATGTCACAGCCCTCATGTGCGATTTGTATACCTTGTTGGGAGAAAATGTATGCCTTATTTCTTATAATTTATTTTACATCTCAAGCATTGTCAGTCAGACCCATGTTCAAAGCAAATTTTGGATTTGTAATTATCAATATATAATCTTTTGAAGTACCATTTATAAAATTGGGAACTTTTTCACCCCAATGGGATTGGCCTATCTTATGCAGGCCAGTAGGAGTGTATCCCAGACCCTGTTGGTCAAGGAATTCTAGCTGGCAGGGTCCAAGAGAAGAACCTTTTCTGCCAAGGCTCCTGCCCTCTGGAACATTATGCCCCCAAGTCGAGATTTTATCTCCTCTGGCCTTCCACATAATAATCATAAAATGTGGCTCTGCTGATTGGCCTGGGGTCCTGATCAGAGATATTCCATATTGGAGCTGGTTAGTAGATGGAGAGAGGATTCTGCCTCCATCTTGTTTGCATTTGGCTTTCTTCTTCAGCCATTTTTGCTAACTTTAATGCTAATGTGTATCAATTTAATATTTTATGTTGTTTCTATTTTATTGTAAGTCACCTAGAGTCTCCTGATGGCAAGATGGATGGCAAATAAATAAAATGTTTAGAAGGTCAAAGTCCTCCAACTATTAGCAAATTCGGAAATATTTAGCTGGATAGTATAAAAAAGGATTCCAAGTAGAGAACATAATATTTGGTTGATCCTCATATGAATAGGTAGGGATATTATTTTTTAAATCTGCCCATCTAAAATTTTATTACAGATAGAAAATGTTAAATAATGGGTTGATAGAAGAGACACAGAGAGATCTTCGATAATAACTCTTTATTTGCAAAAGCAAAACCCAGCAAAGAGTCTGGCTGACAGCGCGCCTTTTATAGAAAACTGTCAGCTGACTCAGGCAATAGGAACAAATTGTTTTTCCCGCCTTGGAGGCGGACCTGAGTGAAGCCTTTATTCACTGGCTTCACTCCTTAATCTGAATATGTAACAGGAAACAATATTTCCAAGAAGAAATGTTAGTCCAATTCTTTGCCCACTATGCTGGCTTTCTGTTTGTAAAAAATTTTGAGCGTGGAAAAATTAGTAGGGTCCCTGCACTTATAGTCTAAGAGGGTGCAATTCAATACATCAAGTTAATGCAGACACTCCCTTTATAAATCAGTTTCAAATTGCTACCTATGATGGAACTTACTTTGTACATAGTAGTATGTAAAAGCACCTGCTGTAATACATTGAACACCCATAAAAAGAGCCATTTGCTGAAATTTTCTTAAGGACATATTTTATTTCCTAGGGAGAAAAAAGTTGGAAAATGAATTATTGTGCACAAGAAAAACCAGGTAATTATGTTAATTTATTTTCAATATTTCCACAAGACTGGCCTGAATGAAAGCCCTCCACATAGCATTCTGGTATTGGTTCTCTCAGAGAGAATATCCCAAAGGAAAACTGAGCAGACCAAATCCATTTGTACATTTCTTTCAAGGATGTCACTATTTCACTAATTATTGGGGGTGAAAATGACATTTCTGTATAGCTAGTAGTCAGAAATGTAGCCTGGTGTTCCTATGCCTTTGCATATAGATGATTAAGAAGCCCTGATTATTCCTAAAAATAACAACATTGTAGCCAGAAACAGGAATTTATTTGGCAAAATGATTACATCTTCTGAAATCTCTCTTTTTCTTACATCTCTCAGCTAAAACCGAACATAATCTACTGAATCATCTTTTAAGTGGATAAAACAAGAAGGAAAGTGCAAATATTTTGCATGTGTAATGTGAGAATGCTCAGGAACATGAACATTCATTCTTTTGCTCCTTCCACGATGAAGTGCTGTGGCTTTACACATGTTTTTATACGTTAGTAAAAATGCAACAATAACCTCTAAATATATAAGTTTATCTTCTTAGGATATTCCTAAAAGAATAGGTTAGGGACAGATTGCCATGGAGAAAATTGATGTGGTTTCTAAAAGTTAAAAAAATTACTTGATGATGTATCAATCAATCATCAATTACTTGATGATTGAATCAATCATCAATCAATCAAATCTAATGACATTATAACATACCTTGTCAAGGTCTTTCCAGGAAGTTCTTCAATTGTCTTGGTTAAGAAGAATTATTCTGGAATTTAAAAATAGTTACATACATCAGTATCTTTAAGTTCCTTTAGAACAGGTCTGGAAAAAAATTAAATCATATCTTCCTCCTCTCCTATTAACCAATATTACCCAATTTGGTGTCCCCTAGATGTATTGAGATTACAACTCTCAGAATTCAAGACCGGCTTTGCAAAAAACTGATATTGCTGAAAAAAATATGAACCTGAATATTTTGCAACATCCCTTTTTAAAAATATTTTCCAAATGATGCAGTTCTAAAAGCTGGAAAATAATATTTCAAACTGGCCAAGAAATTGTTCTGTGGGTGTTCAACATCCACCTGGCCAGCATAAATATGGAGAAAAAAATGTACTCCAACTTCTAGAAAGTACAATTATCCATCTCTGCTTTAAATGGTGAAAATCACATACATAATCTCTATTCTCCTTAACTGTTTGAGCTTTCCAAGGCCACTTCCCCTCTTTTAACTGAGCCTATTTCCCCCTTTATTTGAGTTCCAGATATCTGAGAATAATTGTGTCCTTGGGTGAAAAGCATTCCAAATGGAGCAGGTGGTAAAGTTATTTCCACCTTTTCCTGAATGAAGGGATTGGTCTATGGCTAGACTGATTTGCAGCATTTAAGGTGCTTCAGTTAACCAACATGAACGATGTACTATTATCCAAATTGTAACTTGAGATAAAAATACATAATTGAATAAATTAAATCCAAAATGTGCAATATAAACAGTTATGTACATCAAAGAGAAATATTCTGAAGAAACACAATCAACAATCAGGTAAAACAGTTAGATATAAAAATTGACATTAAAAAATATATGAAGACAAATATACAAAGCCTGGGCATAAAGATATTAACTGTGTCAGGTATGGCTCCATTCCACATCCAAGAAAGAAAACCTTAGATTCCCATCTTTATAGAGAAAAGGACTTTTACTGAAATCGAAGTGGAAGCAACAGAAGAAATAAAAGATCTGAGGCAAAAGGTGCAGAAATTACATATAGAAAGATATGATATGTCCCCACCCCCAACAATTCAAACAGGACATCCAACCTGAGGTATGTATAATGTCATGTGGGTATATTTTCAGGTGGACTCTCAGACATCTGGTATGCCAAGACAGTTGATCTTGGCCTGGAAAGATAAGTGGCTGCATTTGCACAGTAAGCAAGAAAGCATCCCAACTTTTACAATTCACACTTCACCTCCAGCACCCTTCCCCCCACAAGGCCCAATAATCCCCCCCCCTTTCTATGGCAGCTGGAAAGAGTCAAGCAGAAGACAGAATCTTGGAGGCTGACAAACTGCTGCTTTCATAATGGAGTCATCTAAGCATGTCTGTGGTAATCTAAGATACCAGCACTTTGAATGGACTTCTAAATAACCTGTGATAGGCCCATGGCTGTCATAGTAGCTACAAACTCTAGAGCCACCTCAGACCCTATTTCAAGGGGAGACAGTTTAAAGTGCCTGCAAACCACCAGCCAAATCCAGAAACAGAGTGAAAGGAGTTCAAGCAGAGAGATTGCTGTGCAGCAGGGGGGTTGGTACTAAAATAACAGTCCCAACTGATCTCTACAGCCCAACTTAAACATAAAGGATCACACAACTGGTGATTTGTGATCTGTGAAAATTATAAAAAAATATGATTTTCCCTCATGAATGACCCTGTACCCTTGCTAAAATGAAATAACAATAGAAATAGCAAGCTTACATACCATCCATAGTGATCAAACTCCTGCATTCTAACCACTGTGCCACCATGGCTCAATTGCAATTCAGCTGGCAAATTTTGGAAAAGGCAACTCCCCTTTTAGAATCCACACAGATCTCGGTAATACCTCAACTAATGACCACAATTGAGCTCATAAATTTTGTTTTGCTAAGTGAATTTTGCCTCATTTCATGACTTTTCTTGCCACATTGTTAAAAGAATCACTGCAATTGTTAAATTAGTAACTGCAATTGTTAAATTAATATTAAGTGAATCTGGCTTTTCTATTAACTTTGCTTGTCAGAAGGACGCAAAAGGTGATCACATGACGCTGAGACACAGCAACTATCATAAATATGAACCAGTTGTCAGAGGGTGGAGCTGGCGTTGCGGCGGTTGGACGGGCGATCTTGATCCTCCCAAGATCGCCGTTGATATGCTGGTTGGCCCCCATGGACCTAAACCGTCCCATAGAGACAGTGATTGACAAGGGCACATCCTGTTGATCCCAGGGACATCACAAAGTCCCTGGTTGATCCAGGGAAAGCCCTTTTTGCCGGTGGCAGAGAGGCAGCCTTTCAAGTTGCTGAAGCTGGGACAGCTCCGGAATGGAAGAGATGGGGCATTGGTCCTACCTGAACGCTTCTTCTCGGGGAGCTGAAGGGAGAATCCAGGCTGGGTAGTCTCTAGTCTCCTAGCTCTGTAGACCAAGTTGAAAAACTGAGGACACACCCCCTGGTAATGGTCCCCAGTTCTGAACGACGTTGAAGCAAATTCAGCTGCTCCTTGTCTTCAAACAGACAGTTCATTGATACTGTGAAAAACAGGGATATTTCCTCCCTATTCCGACCATACAGAATAGAGGGTGGGACTGGATTCTCCCTTTGACTCCTTGAGAAGAAGCATTCAGGTAGGACCAACGCCCCTTCTCCACTGAGCCGAAGAGAGAATCCAGGCTGGGACATACCAAAGCTGGCTGATGGCTGCCCTACGGGTGGGAGCTGGATTGGTCGGAAGTCTCCACCTCTACATGCACAGCCTGGAGGACTCATCTTCCAAATGACGCCTCCGCTGAGGCAAAGGAGTCAATTTTGTAACGTCTTATGAATGGGGTCACCGATGACCAGGTCGCAGCTCTACAAATGTCCAGAATCAATGTCTGCGTTGCCCAGGCTGTGGTGGTCGCTGCACTTCTGGTTGAGTGCGCTGTGATCCTCCTGGGCACAGGAAGGTTCTGTAACTCATAGGCCCTTGCAATGCAGGCTCTGAGCCAGCGACCTACTGTGGAAGGTGTCACCCTGCGACCTAAAATTGATGGCTGAAAAGAAACAAACAAGGCTTCCGTCCTCCCCAAAGAAGACGTTCTTTTAATGTAAATACAGAGGGCCCACCTAATGTCCAAGGTGTGCCATTTTTTCTCTAGTGCATGGGTAGGCTCAGGGCAGAAATTAGGCAAAATCAACTCCTGGGAACGATGGAATAAGGGTTAGGGTTAGGGTCTCGCAGCTGCCACAGTGCTCTGGGGACTGGATGGGGGGTTGGGATTGAATCCCAATGGCCAGAACCCCCCCCCCCCCAGTCCTGGAGACAAACTGCAAGATTACCCCCAAATAAAATAAATGACCGCTGCCACCAAAAAGGGACAGAAGTGCTTAGCGGCAGCTGCGGCTCGTCCTGGGCAAGGGAAAGTGGATTGGGAGGAGGCGAGTTCAATAAGATGCTGGCTCCCACCCCAGCCCAGGCCACACGGGCTCTCAGGGTCACCTCCACTCCAGTTTTGATAGGAAACAAAACAAAAAAACCAGTCCACCAGCAAGGAAAGTCAAAAATTAAAATAACAAGCAAAAACCGCAAACCGGAAAAAAGGCGTGAAAAAATGAAAGTGCTAAATTGGCAAGCTGGCAAACCTGATCTAAGCCTCTCTGCGAAAAAAAGCTTAATCCAGGGGTGAATATTCTTCTACAATCCTAACTATTCAGAGCCCTTAAAGGGAGGTCTGAACACGCTGAGACCGAGTGAAGAACTGGGGACCGTTACCCAGGGGTGTGTACTCAGTTTTTCAACTCGGTCTGCAGAGCTAGAAGACTAGAGACTACCCAGCCTGGATTCTCCCTTCAGCTCAGTGGAGAATGGAAGAAAGTGTGTCAGTTTGGTGAGACGAACTTTTACTTATTATTTCTTGGAGAAAACAACATGAAAAACTTAAAGTGGACTAAAAGTGGAGAAAAGAGTTTAAGTGATTAATTGTCAAAGTGAACGTTTTTTTTCTTTTTTCCCCTTTTTATTGGAATCTTGAACTTGGCAAAGCCGTTCAACTTTAAGCTGGACTGGTACTTTTTAATCTTTTTATTTCTGTTTGTATTTCTTTCTCCTTTTTTAACAATCCTATTGAAAACTCTTTTTTGATTAAGATTCTTCTGCTTGATTTAAGATTTATTTTTCTCCCTTTAAAAAGAGGGGGGGGGGAGATTTTACTTAAGTAAGTTTACTTAAGTAAGTAGCATTGCCGCCCAGAGGCTTGGATACATTGTTTCTTTTTTTCACTAGTTTGTGTTACAATCAAGGACTCTGAGCTGTGTATTGGAAAAGATAGAGATGAGCATGGCAGTTTGTTTATTCAGGTGCTCATTTGTGAACAGATAGCTGGAGCTGAAGTTGAAAGAAAGAAGATTGAAGTGACCTTGGAAAACTCTGAGCTGATTTATCAAAGAGCCTTGGATATTTGGCAGCAGAGGCTTGTTTCATATTAGAATTGCTTTTTACTTTTTGCCTCCCTTTCTACCCCCCCATCCCACTAGTTCAGGCTTTTTTTTTCTCTTTAATTGGATTTTGACTTTTTAAACCAGGAACCAGAATGTAAATCTTTTATTTTTGTTTTCTTTTGTTTATTAGGAAGGACATATAGAATATTTTTCTTTCTCTTTTTTATCGTTGATTTTTTACTTTTTACATTTACCATTGTAACTAATTGGATTAAAGTATAAAGTGCCTGAAGACTTTCTTTTTCCTTTTTTCCTTTGGAGTGGCAACTGTTTGCCTTCGTCTTTTTTTCTTTTTTTTTTCTTTTTTCCACTTTTTCTTTTTCTCTCTCTCTCTTTCTTTACAGATAAGCATTATAAGATGAGTAGAAAGACCACAGCTCCAGCTTCTTCGATACCAACCCCCTCACCATCTGGAGGACAACGATCTATACAGACAATATTGCAACAGGAAAAAGAGAAAGAGAAGGAAATGACATTACAGATGATTATGCAAGGAATCCAGAAGATTGAGCAAAAAATTGAAAAGACAGATGAGAAAGTGGAAAAATATTCAACAGATGATGATGAAATATGAAGACAGATTTTAAAAAATTGAAGAGGAAGATATACAAAGAGATAAGAAAATTGGAGACATTGATATTCGATTGAGCGATGTCGAGAAGGGCAGATGTGAACCATTAGGATGGGAAATAATAAATCAGAAATTTATCTAAGATTTCAAAATATAGAAGATGGAAAAGGTGAAAAGCTTGCTGAAATAATGGCAGAAATATTGGCAGAAGCACTGGAAATAACCAAAGAAAAGATGATGGATGGGATGGATGAAGTGTTTTGTGTCTATACAAGATATGCAACAAGGAATAGACTACCAAGAGAAGTTCACATTAGATTTACTAAGAAGATTATTAAGACACAGATACTCCAGGTGGTGAGAGAGAAAACACTAAAATATAAAGACAAAGAAATTGTGGTGCTGAAACAGATACTAAGAAAAGTAAGAGAGATGAGAAGAGAATATTTATTATTGACTAAAGAGTTACTTAAAAGAGGAGTAAACTACAGATGGTTGATGCCAGAAGGCCTCTTGTTCACTTGGCAGGAACAAAGACACAGAATTGACACAGTTGAAAAAGCTGAGCTATTCTACTTAGAATACTTTAGAGGAAAGGAGGAAGAAGAAAGGAAGGCTCACTGATTGAATTTCAAGAGGAGTGTATAGCAGTAATTGAAAAATTAAAAGAAGAGGTTGCAGTAGGCGGTGAACCCAGAGAACGAGAATTGAGATCTACTAGAGCAATAAAACCCTCTTATAAAGCTTAACAGGGATGGAAGAAAATTGATTTCAATTAACATAAATGGACTTAATTTGGCTACTAAAAGAAGGAAACTATTTCACAAATTAGAAAAATTAAAATTTGACATAATCTGCTTACAAGAA